AGTGAGACACTGGCACAGGTTGCCCAGGGAGGTAGTGGATGCCCCAACCTGGCAGTGTTCAAAGCCAGGTTAGATGAGGCCTTGAGCCACCTGAACTAGTAGAGTGGCGTTGTGTCCCTGCCCATGGCAGGGAGGGCTGGGACTATATGATCCATAAGGTTCATTCCAACCCCTAAAATTATGATTCCTTGGAGCCCTGACCCCAAACCAGCTGATACCACAGCAAGGAAGGACCATCTACCTCGCCCATGGTTGATTTTCACTTTTATTATTGTCAATTCAGTTGTCTTTTTACATATATTTTGTAAAAAATATATTAGATATAAAAGTCAGAAATGCTCCTCTTTGAACTACATATACTGGTGAATTTACAGGCCGGTTCAGAAAAGGTAGGCAAATAGGAAAGCCCAACCTGATCAATGCATACAGCAGCAGCAGCAGCAAATGCCCCTCTCCAGGGACAATGGAAAAATGTTATATATATATATATATATGGGCGTGTATAACATCCATACACACACACACACACATGCACACAGAGGTGCACACACCCCACCTTCCTGCCCAGGACACCCCAGGCTGTAGCTCAGCCCCAGGATGCTGGGGCAGTGTGGGATGGGCTCCCACCAGGCAGGCACTGGCCAAAGCACCCCAGGATGGATTTGGGAGTTCCAGCAGAATGGGGCGCGTGCTTCCTCTGTTCCTACAGAAGTGCCTCCCCTCTCTGTGCCTGCGTTGCCTGGTGGGACGGCTGGCAGCAGCTCACTCCTGGACAGTGAGGCTTCCTGTGGGACCGCTTTGGTTGGCAGCAGTACGGAGGGGAAATCCACTGCTCTGCAGGCACAGTGCCTGCAGGACATCCCCAGTGTGACGGTAAATTCGGAGACTCATTTCCCAAACTAGCTGAGAACATGGGAATGCCATGGCCCAAGAGGTGAAACCTGCCTCAGCAATTCTCAAACCTAAAAAAAAGTGGGGAAAGTCAATGACTGGAGGCATGGAAGGCCCTGAGCAGTGAGAGCCCTGACTGGGGGCACCAGCACCATCCAGCTGAGGCTGCTGGCATTATCCTGCAGCAGTGTGAGGCACTATCTCCATGTGGGCAGGCAGGCAGAGGGAGACCCCCTGCTGCCATCCGCACTGTTGGATGCAGACCGGGACTGCCATCACCTCCCAAGGAAGGGAAAAGGCACTCTTGAGTTTTTGGCTCCTCTGACAGTCACAGCAGCCAGCCAGAAGGCTTGCTCTGCTGAGCCTTACCCCTGTGGAAGAGGGAACAAGAGAGATCTCCCTCCCTCCCAGCACACCAGGCTTGTGTGGTGAGGGGAGGGTGAGCTCCCTGTTCCCACATGTCCCTTATGGAAGGAGGCTTCTGTATGACTGCCTTCAGCAGCCCCTGACTCAGCTGAGGCAATTCCAGAGGCTCAAGGACAGATCCTCTGTTGATAGTAGCACCAGGTGACCCCAAACCCTATGGGCAGGAAGGGGGCAGCTCCTGCAGGGGCACCAGCTGCCAGAGGAGCCCTGGACATAGTTCCTGCCAGGAGTGGTTGGCACTGCACTCCCACACACGCACACACATACACACACACACATACACAAGCACCCCAAGGCAGCTGGGGTCTCAGGAACATTCAAGATGAGAGAGTCACTGTCAGAGCCCGATTTTGGTGGTCTCTACTGTGAGCTGTCTCCTGTGGGGGTCAGGCCATAGCCAGGCCCTCCATGTGGATGCTAGACA